TATATCTTTGAGGGTACAAATTAAAATTTTTGATCTTTAGAAGTATAAATTGAGATTTAAATAATATTTTGAGGTATAAAATGAGATTAACCCAAATAAGAAAGGTAAAAGCGTTTTTTTATTGTTCGGTGAAAAAGAAAAAAGTGGGTGAATAAAAAAAAAAAAAAGATTAAAAGACTTTCAGTTGGGCCCACCAATTTTTGATCTACCAAACGTTGGTGAAAAATTAGAGAGAAAGGTTGACTGGCAAGGGGACTGATCAGTAAGGGAGTACGGAGTGTTTGACCAGATGTATTTGATAAAAATAGTTGAAAGGATTTTTAAATTTCATGTTTATATAAAAATTTCAATTCTGAATTTAGGCCCATAATTGGCCCAAAAATTACACTTACGATTTTGAGTTTCGTCAAACTTAAGTGAGTGGATTTGAAAAGATGGATAAAGGTTAAGGATCTAAAAAATAATTGTATTATTTAACATGACTATGAATTAAATTGATTAAGGATAAAATAATTATTTATAAGATAAATAATTATTAATAATTATAATATATCAGTAAATCCTACATGTGTATATATTATATACCAAATATAAGTATAAATTAAATAAAATGTTGAATCTCATATTTGCAAATAGGTATTTGGGTTTGAAAGAGTTTAGAGAAGTCAATCTAAACTCTTCCTGAAAATTCATTCAAACAAGCCATAAATGGTGAATATACCATTTGTCTAAGGACTCAATTTTAAAACATTTTTTTTATAACTAATACGTGAAAAGAAACTAATCACATTATTATGTTTTTCATAATAAAATTACAAATAACACTTGTATTTTTTTTTCTTTTTCTTTTTCTTTTTTAATCCCACCAAACTATAATATGTGATGGTATAATAGTAAATTGAATTTTTATGTTTTTTCTTTTCCTAAAAAATAAAAATCTTATTTCTCCAACTTTTCTTTCAACATGCAAATGAAATGAAAGGAAAGGGAATCTCTTTCCTCATTGGATTGAAAAGCCTATCTTTTCTATTTTTTTCATCATTTTTATTTTTTATTCTTTCTGCCAAACTGCCCATAAGAATAATTTGTTGAACCATGGGTCCTTGGAGATCGTAGCCCGCCATCGGGAGAAAATCCTCATTAAATATCTCCAACTAGTAAGTTTAACAACTTGATGCACCTGTAACATGTGGGAAAGGCTATGGAGCCGATGGTAATATCATATCAAAAATTATAATTTTTTTTAAGTTAAATTATAAATTTTTTTTTGCTATAAGTTACAATTTTAAAGTGAATGATAAATTATAGAAAATTGTGAGTGATATCGAGAGTTCATGAATGATTATGAATATCTGTGATCGATCATTACTTTTCTTTTAGCAATTATAATTTTTATTTTAAAATTTTGAATTTTATTGTAAAAATAATGATGGATTGTACAATATCAACCTTTTTTTTTTTCAGCTTACTGTAGACTTTCTTTTTTAGAAAACCATTCAGAGGTGTTTGGCAAATATGTGACGGATATGATTGGTTTGGTTTCTTATTCTAAATCAATCCGATGAAAACCCAAATCCGGGGATATAGACAGAATAATAATAAAGTAGTATAATCCAACCCTTGCTTGGGGAAGTAATTTTGTATATTATGGGGCCCACAAAAAAATTATTATTTTTTGTACAAATTCTCTTACTTTGAGTTAAATTATAATTTTACCTTTCACTCCTATCCAATCCAAAGTCAATGTTGAATTAGGCAATATTATTTATTTTGTCCACCTTTAAACTTCATTCCAATTTTCATGTATGTTACCAAGTGTACAAATCGAAAACAATTTGGTTTTAATGTTTGCAATACCCAAATTTTTTTTATCTAATTAATTTGCTCATAAAATTGTCGCACATTGTTTTAAAAAAAAAAAATAACCGATCTACACGAAGCGATAAACACTTAAACATATTTCATTACCACAAGTAACCTTATACAAAAAACGAAGTAAAAATAAGGCAACGTACTATGTAATTACACGTACTCGATATGTTTATATTCTTTGTTGCCTTCAAGTATACATACAAAACGAAGCCACCAGTAGGAGGTACGAAGCGTGAAGCTATATGCACACACGCTATTTTGTGTTGCATTCCAAAAAATGGGTAAACATACTTACCCAACTGAAATATAAGCATAATCTAAATATAAGGAACCAAATTCCAGCAATTAATTCAATTGACAATAGATCCCAATATGTTTTAAGATCCATAACCAATGCAATAGAATTAACAAATTATGTCAATAAATTATATTAACAAACTAGATCAGAATTATACTATTAAATTTAAAACAAAAAAAAAATAGATGACTTCTTTAAATAACATACGAAACAAAAAGTAATCATTTTATTTCCTTGCCATCAGGAGACCTCCTTGAAGATTTAACTATGTAATCTTTTCATCAATTTTTCAAACATCACAAAATAAGTACTGGTAAAAAAATTTCAGTGGATTAAATGGTGATCTTTGACCCACGAGTGCAAATTTCAACAGCATAATGCAACTCTATTGAGAATTTTTCAATGTAGATGGAGATCGCGTGTTGGGTTTCAAGCAGAAGGGTGTCACAGGGATATATACATACATATATATATATAGAGAGAGAACAAAAAAAAATACCTTCTAATGGGAACCGGTGGGCGCCGCTTGCAGGAAGGAAGGATCAATGAGAAGTTCAAAGGAAGTCAAAAATGAGGGGTAAAAACCCTACATTTAGTACTGTAGAAGGATATTTTAATAAATGACAGGACAATCCGATAACTGAGTTTCGTAATCCCAAAGTTACAATGGGATATACGAAAGTGGGTCAGCTACGGCCCGAGGAATTCGGCCCAAAGAGTATACCATTGAAAATTTTTTTTGCCAAACCAGAGATTTGTGGGTCACCGGATTACGGTACCCAATCCAACTAGGGGTTATCCCATTTTATCCCCTTTGCCAAACACACCCTCTCAAAGGACAATCAGATTCTGACTGCATGTGGGCGGTGGCCCAGTTCCAGCGGCAAGTTTGTGATCATCTAGCAAATCCAAAAAGTTAGGTGAATGTGCTGTCGTTATATTCAACTGTACCAATAGAGGGGGCTCACCTGGCCAGAGTTCTATCTGTTGTAAGTTGCAACAAAACACAAGTTTTCTAAAGATAATATGCACGCATAAGACTTTTTTTTTTATTTGTTGGGCCTGTTTACTCAAACATGGTAGGTCCCATTGGAATCAATCAAATCATGTGCCATATTGGATGACTTTTGACTATATTACCCTTCAGGCTAGATACAACATTTTAGGATATATATTTCTAAATCAGAGTCGTCAAATTTTTGATTGATCGTAATTTCTTACTCTACCATACTTAACGGCTAGTCGCAGAAATCGGATAGGAATGCGAAATTTTTTTTTATCTTTCGATTAAATCGGGTAGAAATATAAAATACCTATTAATTTCCGCATTCCTACCTTACGCTATCCGTAAAATATATATTTAACTTTTTTATATATTTTTTTAGTAATTATAAGAATATTTGTGTGGTATAATTTATATTATAACAATGTTATTGTTATGAATGTTTTGAGTTCCGAAAATATAGATTTATTTTTTGTGTAGGTTACATAATTTGTACTGAACTAGTGAACCATTAGAGCAGTTGGTTTTAATATGTTTTATATAGTTTAAACTTAAAAAAATTGTTTGTATTGTGTAATAATTATGATGAATTAATGTTCATTCTTTCTTATATTTTATTGTAATTGTTGTTGTAATTATTCTAGGTTTTAGTGTTATTGATTTATTGTGTTGTTAAATTAGTACATGTTATTTAATTGAATTGTTAAAATGATTCAAAAATTAATAACTATAAAAAGTGTTTACCCGATTTTCTACTCAATTATTTGGGTACGAAGTCGGGTAGGAATACCACACCTGATCGGGTAGGGTAGGCCAAAATTTTTTTTTTTCGCAAAATACCGAATAGGAAGACGGACGACAATATTTCTTACTCGTACGATAAGGTGAACACCCCTATTTTCGGACAAGACTTTAGTTGTTTAGACGAATCGTATCCAAATCTCTAATGTAAAACTTGAGTCCTCGACGAAACGGAATAAGTTGAGGGACCGATTCATACATCCAAACTTTGTCCTTGGTTCTACTCAGAGTCACGAACCTAAGTGACATAATCGCTCTTTATTTTTTTTTTTAACAAATCAACACTTTATTCCATAACATAAGCGCTCCTCTACTCGTTGAGAACAAATTATGAAAATTTTTCCTATTCGAAGAAGGATTCATATTTCCTCAATTTAGATAAAACTTTATTATTATCCCCAAAAAAAATTTCTCAAATATTTTTTTTTCTAAATATTTTTTACAGATAATTCACCATTAATGATCAAAGGACCAACTTGTGTAGATATGTGTCACTTCAATAAATGATAAGTGATATGTTTAAAAAAGTTAGAAAAAACATGTATTGGAACAAGCTTCGCAATTTTAATCCCCAACAACTAAAAAGATAAAATTATATTTTTTAAATTTATTTATCAAATATTGTATCCGTGTCAAAATTTTATACATTATATATATATATATATATATATATATATATATATATATATATTTGATTAAATAGTTAAAATTATTCAGACCAGTTTACACGCAGATCTACTAATCCCTTTTCAATCTGATAAAAAACAAGTCATTTACGTTAAAATTAGGGTATTCATAAGAGACAAATCCTTAACTGTTGACTCTAAAAAATTATCAAGATTCAAACTTAAGACGTCCGCATTTATAACTTATTCTTATTACACTTGAGCTTCCCCTTATAGTTGCATTAAAACTTTGGGACCCAATCTCGTTGGGATTTATTACTTAATTACTTAAATTCTCTGACATTTAAAATATTATACATAAATTTTTTAATATTTCAATCAAATTTGATTAAAATATTTTTGATTTAAGTATAACATTTTAAACTTGAGGAGTCGAAGTATTATATACTTACAAATTTCAAGGGATTTAGGTGTTATTTACTAACAGATATTGATAATAAGGGTTTAAGTGTTACGTGCGAACAAAATATTACAATTTTAAGTGTAATTTTCTCTAAAACGTTTGATAAGCATAATATTATTGGAATGAAAATTTAAAAGCAGCCAGGAAGAGGGACCAGTAGACAAGGAAGGAACACGTGCAATAAATGCGTATATAAATTCAGCATACCTCGTTTTATGAGATCATAATAATAAATTCAGCATACCTCGTGTCAGAAATTACAGGTAAGTTGAACAGTGACCAATCATAATCATTAATGGTGTTGCCCGTCTATTCTTGATCCTTCGCTGCTTTGGCAGCCACATTGAATTTGTCAGTGATGAGTGACTCCACCTTCTTGTCCATTTCTTCCACCTGAATTTTCATTTTAAAAGGATTAATGATGTTTACTACAACACAAAAAAATATTTCAATTGTTTTTCATGTTTCAATTGTTTTAATTTGATACTTAAAATATTGAGTCCGTCGAGTTTATGCGATCATCAAATCTAACGTCGCTGCTCAAATTTCTGGTGAAATTAGATTACGTTACCTTGAAAGAAGGGTATCTGGTGAAATGAGAAATTTGAAGACTTGGAGACCATTAAAGCTGAATTTTATACTTTAATGATTAAATTGAAGCCATTTTTAGTACTAAGGAAACAGGCCATAGGGTGAAAAAAAAGAGAGTTTAGTATGTGTGTGGGAAAAAACCGATAATCGAAGCTAAATTTTGTAAACTTAAGTCGAACCGATTAAATTCGTTTATCTAAATAAATTTAAAAATTGTTCAAGTTTGACTAGTTTAAAAAATGAGTTAAATTCAAAACGAATAAAATTCGACCCGAATTTCACTCAAATCGAGCCCGAGCCCAAATAGATCGACTCAATTCACACTTATGCCCGGCCACCGGTCAATATTAGAAAACAACTCTGCTTTTCTCTGAGTGGCGCATAAAAAAATGGGTGCAATATCTCCAGAAAATTGAGATCTGGTGGTGTCTTTAATGACAGCTTAAATTTAAAAAAAAAAACTAAAGTAGATTAAATAAAATTAAAATCCAAAGAAAATTTATGATGCGTGCGTTGAGTATGATATAAATGAAGGGTATTAAGTAAAACACCTTGTCCATTAATTCTTCCACTTGATCAGCTTTCTTAATAGTTTCTTCGGCCAAGTTTTCAACAAAAGTGACTGCATTTTTGAGTCCACCGTCAGGGAGTTTCTCAATCATATCTTCTGCCATCTTGTCCACTTTCTCCGCCACATCCTCCACCGCCTCCGCCACTTTTTCCACCGTCTCCGCTGCCACTTCAACCTCCTCTATACGTTCAAATTTGGTTAGAGTAATTAAAAAATTCATGCACAAAGAAATAAACTGGTCAAAACCCCTTACTTGTTAGTGTCAGGAGCCATTGGCCGGCCAAGGGTATAGCTACCACCGCACCGAAGACCCAACCTATCCTGGAACAAAATTAGCGGAGACATATTTCACTATCGGAGAAAAACAAAGGAAAAATCGCACTGGGAAAAATGAATATTATCTAAAGGTCAGCTGAAAGGAAAATTAAAAGGAATTTTCAGGAAAATACAGTATTGAAGAAACTAGTTGATTTTGACTCACCAAGAATTTTCAGGCGGCCAGCTGAAAGGAAAATTAAAAGGAGCTCCCGGTAGAGGACTGCAGTAGACCACCGAGTTCCTGAAAATTTGATGAACTTAAAACAGCTTAGATCAGGAAAATCGGATAAAAGAACAAAGATCAGGTATTTTCGAAAAAAGTTGCATACATACATCTTCGATCTGCTGTTAGTCTGTTCTTCCTGGCCGGTGCTGAGATATCGCAAGCTTCCATTACCCGAAAAAGGGAATCGATCCTTACGTTTTGAGATTGCAGTATGAGATATGGGATTGAAGAAGAGGGTGGTTTGAGATCTTTGACAAGGCTTGATATGAGGGGTGGTCAAACTAAAAGTTACAATAGATGTAGCCATGGAAAATTTCTGCAGTTGGGAAGAGGCTCAATTTGTGCAGTTGACAGTGGAAAATAGTTTGGAGTGTATGAAGTTTGTGCAATATAGAAATGTCTTGGTCAAGAAGTAGATAGGAAAGAGATTGATAAAGTCATACTTTTATGTATTTAGGTTCCTTATGCATATAAATAATTGAAGGGTGGAGTGAACCATGTAATTGAGTAATAAATGAAGCCGCTACGTAACATCACTATCGCGGCACTGTATAATCGATCAATAATAAATAAAATAAATGAATTTCACTAATTTTATTTTTAAATATGAAAGTTATAGATATTCATATAATTTAGTGGGATCCATTAATCTTAGATAGTTATTTATAATTAATCGATTATACCACATGATAATCAATTGATAGATAAAGATTCGAAGGTTGGCAATTATTCTTATTGATCATAATAAGGGCAGGAACAAAATCAGGATTTCATTCTAAGGGGGGCAAACAGTGGTATAGTCGATAATTTTACTCAACATAACTATTCACAAAATTATTTTTAACGATAAATTTTGAATTTACATAACCTATCACAATCAATTATCATACAATACTATCATAAAAACTTGTTTGTTTCATAATATCCAAAATTGAGCTCTTACCTACTTCCCATATAATAATTAATTTGTGACAATCTCACCATCCATTTATTCATTTCTTTAAGATATGATACAATGATTTACAATAAATAATTATTAAAAAATAGATTCACATGATATTAGAGTAAATTAAGTCAAAAATCAATACATTGTTTTTATATAAACCACATTTGTAGCTTAATTTTACGTTAATCTCAGTTGTTTTCCTTTGGTCATCGGATTAATCTAAGTGCTTTTGTTTGAAAGAGTAGCACTCACCTATGCTCTTATATTCCTTGGTAAATGTCAAATTATTTAGCCTTTTGCCTATGTTAAGTAAATTACTTATATATAACATTTTTTAAATTAAAGGGGAAGCATAGGATTTTTTGAAAACTTATTGAGACTATAGCAATGATGAGAATTCGATTCTCCAAAAACTTAAGGGTTTCCCCGCAACGTTCATTCATAGAGGGTGAGTCACGACCTAAGATCAAGCGGAGAGGATCAATACAATTGGCTAGACATAGAACAAATTCTTACTCAAAGAGTCAACCTCGGGTATATATTAAGTCAATATAATCTTATTATACAGGTAGATCAATTTTAGGAGAGGGCAAGGCACTCCTAGGCCAATGCCTAATTCCATCATTTAGTAAAGGTGTGTTTGGTGTGGGATGTGAGTTCAAAGTCATAATGAGGATCGTTGGGGCTGATCAATAACTTGCAATAAAGACTAATTTATCTTTTAAATAAATCATTTTATACAATATAATTATAATTTTGATGATTTTTATTAGAATTTTACAAATTTAAAAACTATATACACATTCATACTAAGTTGGATATGTCTATCATACTTATTTTAATCCGACATAGAACAAAACATGGGATTGAATTTTAGGATACCAAAAGTCATATCCAATTGAGGATCTCAAATCTCTGTAAACCATATTAGAATACACAAGATAATTGAACACTGTCATTTGTTATTTTGAATCACACATGTCCAGCCTTGTCGAAAAGGGTTCTTGATTAACACCCAATAGTAAACCAAAGCTAGATGAGAGGTGAGGACTGGTTTGCTCTCAAATTACTAGGAAAAGAACAAGAGACATGTTTGGCTTCGAGATCAGATTGAATGAATGGAAAAAAAAGCTAGAAAATGAAGAGAATAGAAAGAGTTTTCCTCGTACGGTGTAAGATATAGTGTAAGAGGAAAAATGAACAGAATGGAAAAATCAGGGGTTAACTAGGCCTTCCAGCCTAGCATTGATTTTCCGTCCAAAAGTGGGCAGGAAGTGGGACAGCTGGAATGAGGTTTGGTTAATTACTTTTATGCCCTTCATTGGATAAAACTCTGTACTGTTGAATTTTCTTATAGCATCCCACATGGGCCACATGACTAATTTATGTGGTCGATAAATACTTTTTATTATTTTGTCTTTATCCTTTTTTTTGACTTTTTCCTATAACAAACAAATTTTTTTTTAGACAAATTAATTTTTTTATCCTTGAATATTCTTGTAAACTGTCACAATTTGGATTCAAAACTTACACATTTATCAAGAAACACTTTTAAATATCCTATCAAATAATATATATTGCTATTATTTTTGGTATACATATATTTATTTATTTATTTTTATAACTAACTAAAGCAAAATTGAATATTTAAAAATCTTAAAAAAATTATTTACCATAAAAAATTAATTTTATTTGTAGGGGTATAATGGTAAATTAAGTACATTTATATTTTCTTTCCTTCCACTTTTTTTTCTAATACCAATCAATAGAAAATTAATTCCCTCAACTTTTTATCCATCGTACCAAACACAAAAGAAGAAAAATGTTTTTCTTTCCTTCAAGGATGGAAAATCTATTCCTTACATTTTTCTATACTTCTAATTTTTCATCTCTCCTGCCAAATAGAGCATTAGACTTCTGACATTTAAAATATTATACACAGACCCCTAAAATTTATACTCGCATAATATTTAGACTTTTACTGTCAATGTCTGTTAAAATATCAGTTATTAAATTATATTTAGATCCCCTAAAGTTTGTATGAGGTATAATACTTATATCTTTTAAGTTTTAAATGTTATATTTAGACAAAAAATAATTAAATCAAAGATAGATAACCAAATATTTTAAATTTTATAACCAAAATTCATATTTTATTCTGTCATTTATTAATATATATATATATATATATATATAAATTTATTTTTCTTTAAAAAATTAAAATTAATATACAATTATAATAAAACTAAAAAAATAAATAATGAATCAAATTGTAATAGACACAATATTTTTTTATCTTTAATTGAGGAAAAAAAAAAGAAAAAAAATTTAATTGAGGTAGTTTGATAGTTTAATAATTAGTATAATTGTATATTAATTATGATTTTTTTAAAGAAAAAATTAAATTTTTATTTTTATTTTTTGATTTTATTTTAATAAATAACATAATGGAATATGAATTTCGGTTATAAAATTTAAAATATTTGATTAAATTATTTTTTGTTTAAGTATAATATTTTAAACTTGAGTAGTCTAAGTATTACAAAGTTATAAACTTCAGGGGTCTAGGGTTATATGTGTACAAACTTCAGGGCTTTGTGTGTAATATTTTAAATGTCACGAGGTCTAAGTGATTAAGTGACAAACCTTAAGCGATTTGAATGTAATTCTCTATTTAATTTTTTTTTGGGGTAAATTTCACTACTTCCCCCTAAATTTATGTTATATTTCACTGACACTAGTGCTATCTAAAATTTTACTGCACGTCCCTGTAATTTATATACATATTTCACAAGCTACCATTACCGTCTAATACATTTACTGACAAGCAAAAAATGTTTGGTATTCTCTTATGAGTTATTACGTTTATGTTTGGCCATATAAAATAAGCTTAAAGCAATGGAAAAGATCTTTTTAGTATTAATTTAATTAAATTAAATGTCAATTGAATTAAATAGAATGTTTCCTTTTAAAAAATTGGATTAAACAAAATGTTAATTTAGTATAAATTTTAAAAATAATATTAATTTGATAAAACTAAATATTAAATTCAAAAAAAAGAATGACCATTTGTTAATAATTTGATGAAATTGAATGTTAATTTAAAATTCAATCATACAAATGATGTTAATTTGATAAATTGAATGTTAAATTGATGAAATTAGATGTTAATTTGGGGTTAATTTGATGATATTGAGTATTAATTTGGTGCAAATTTTATAGAATTGAACATCAATTTGACAAGATTAAATATTAGATTGCTGAAATATAATAATAATTTATCAAATTTATGATCAACACGTAAAACGAAAAGACTATTCTTTGGTCCCATTGACAAGTGTATTTGCAAAAAGTTTCAAAGCATACGTAAAGAAATTAATTTTCAAAAGGTTGTTGAAATGTATTCTCCAATCAAAGATTAGAAAGATGAAAATGGTAATTCAAAATTAATTTTCTATAATTTCTTTGTATTATGCTAGCACACCAGACTCTTCAAAAAATTACTGCATATACACCAAATCCTTGTATGTCCTCTTACAGGAGGGGAAATGCAAGGATTTTAAACCTAGCAATCCCAACAAACCAAACAATCTGTTTTGGATATGAAATATTAAATTTTAAAAATGTTCAATGAATTGACACTTACTAATTTGAATATACTAAGGACATGCCCCCTACCACGTGATAGAATATGTGGAAAGACAGGAAATGGTCGGCCACAATTATGTTTGAAAAAGAGAGTAACCAACTAAAAATTATTAGTTGGTAACCGTCTATGAAAGCAAAGATCGTTGAAGTTATTGGACATAAAAATGACATTTAGTGAAAAAGAGCAGATACTGTAATTTTAGGAGACAGTTATTACTGTAATTAAGGTTATTTATTCAATCTTAAAATTAATAAATGAATTATTTTCTATTAGTTTGTTGTATTGTGTGTTTATTTGTTATTTTTCCATCTAAAAAAGTTATACAATAAGACATTTAAACCCTTTATAAACAACCGCTTAAAAACTATTTGGCGATTAGAATATATATATTCATCCCAATAAATTTTAGAATAACACAATCATAATGAAGCTAACAACGAAGCCAACCCAATATGACACACCAAAAGTCACATTGTTATTAAAATATTTCCTTTGTTGATGAGAAACCAACTCCACTTCATGGTGGACAAATACGTAATGAATGCAACTTTTCCCCCACCTTAAAAATTAAAATGCAAAGTTTGTCTAACATCCTATCATAANAATACGTAATGAATGCAACTTTTCCCCCACCTTAAAAATTAAAATGCAAAGTTTGTCTAACATCCTATCATAATTCCTCAACTCAAAAAGTAAAAAAAAAAATCTCAAATTTGAGTCATTGCAAGAGTCATGGATTCAAATTTATCTTGGTAATTGACTGGTGTTTACAGAACAGAAATTGCATGTGTATAGGTATGTTAATCGGAATATCTTGTCTCTCACACACAAATATATCTATATCTGTATATTTGTGTATGTTCAGAGATTAAAATTTTTTTATTTGCATATGATATAATCCTCTTTTCTAGGGCTTATGAAAGAGACTACCACAAAGCTTAAATAAATCAAAAGTTTGCATTTCACCTNTCCTCTTTTCTAGGGCTTATGAAAGAGACTACCACAAAGCTTAAATAAATCAAAAGTTTGCATTTCACCTGACATAAGAGAGAGTCAAACCTTGCACCTAAGTATAATATGTGGGGTCACACTCACCAATGACTTGAGAAAAGGACCTAGTTATCCCAGTTCTATACAATTAGAGCCAATAAAGAATGCTTTAAAGTCGTCACAGAAAGAATATAAAACAAGTAAAGTGGGTGGAAAATTAAAACCCTCTCCTAGTCCTTGGTTGGGAGAGCTACTCACTTCTACGCTACCTAACAATGTTATGCAAACCAAGCATTCAAGCCGAGCTTTGTGCCATCCTGAAAGGGTTGGAGCTCATTCAAAGGAGGGGAATTAGACAAGTGACGGTTGAGACTCACTTGACATAACTTCAAGAATAGTTAAAGTGATAATAAAAATAAATTATAAATCTAGACGTCTTGAATTCAAATGTTGATAATCTTTTAGGGTCAAGTTATGATGAATTTATCTCTCATTAATACTCTAATTTGACGTGGATAATTTGCCCTTGACTAGATAAAAAAAAAATTAATCGAAATATATATTAGCTCGATTTCAGATAGGGAGCTTTCCCAAGGTGGATCTAGCCGGCCAGCATCTCTTTTACAAATTCTGTCTAGTTTTGTTTTAACTTTTCCAACGTACCAAAAAAAAAAGAAAAAAAGAAAAAGAAAAAGTATACACATATAGCGTGGCAATTAGCACTTGGATTTAGAAATAGATTTATCACATCTCATCCTAATCTGCCGTTCACATACAGATCAAAGTGACCTACTCTGAAATGAAATTGTGTATCTACTTCTGATCCTTTGCTGCTTCGGATTTTTCTTCAGCTACGGATTTTTCTGCTGCTTCGGATTTTTCTTCAGCTACAGATTTTTCTGCAGCTTCGGATTGTTCTTCAGCTACGGATTTTTCTTCGGCCTCGGATTTTTGTTTAGCTTCGTCAATGGCTTCTTCTACAAATGACTCCAACTTCTCCTGCACTTCTTCGACCTGCATTTTTTATTTGAATAATGAAAAAAGCCTTAAAACTTGGCCATATCATTAAAAATGGATAAATGCTATGCAACACCAATTTGAATTCCACATAATTGTGCAAATGAACGGAAAATATTTGATGAATGAGTTTCATCAATTTTTTTAAATGGAATCCATTGATTCGTCGATACTTATTGATTTGAGAAGCAATTTGGAATACTTATTGATTTGAGAAGCTATTTGGAATCTCAAATGTTGGTTACATAACATTGTTCTTTGGGATCTCAAATGTTGTGCTTCATGGCCATTGGTTTTCCTTTCTTTCTTTTATTGGGCTAATGTCATTTTGCACTTTGAAAGACGTTTGATTATTAATTTAGACTCTTAAATATTAAAAATTTTAATTTATACCTTCAATTTTATGAAGTAGTAAAAATATGAACCTTATCTAGACTACCATTCAATTTTTCGTTATAAATTGAAATACGTGAATTATAAGTGTTTCGATCATAGACTTACGTATAAATTCATAAATTGTTGGCATCTCATATGATCTATTTGATTAACAAAACCTTATTTTCGATACATAAAACGATGTTAAATTTATCATTGACAAAAGTTTGCAGTTATGGGCACATCTTATCCTCAAATCAGAAGCACTTGCAACTCATGTGATTCAATTTATAATAGAAAACTGAACGGTAGATTAGGCATGGTCCACATTTCTATCAATTTATGATATTGAGGGTACAAATTAAAATTTTTAATATTTAAAGGTGTAAGTTAAAAATTATACAAAGTGAGATTTGCCCTTTCTTTTTTATATTGTAGGTGTTCAATTCCATCGTGCCATTGGTGGAAAAGATGAACCTCAAAAGTCGATACGTCTTTTCAACTTCAAGAAATTTTTTATAATAATCTGTAATCCATAATTTTTTATTAAAACGTACGTAAAACTGTAAAATATTATGGAAATTATTAATTGTGTTTAATTGGAGAACTTAAACTGAAGATTTAATCTATTATAATTGTGAAATAGAAGTTAAAATTATCCAATATTAAAATTTAGCATTGTGATAATCAACTTTAATGGTTATTAAATATAGTGACTTGGGTCAGATTAGTGAAGAAAAACAATGATATGACGATAAACACAAGATAAATCTAGGGTTAGGTAAACCTTTTCGATGAATTCATCGGCTAGTTGAGCATCCCTAGCTGTTTCTTTGGCCACGTTCTCAATAAAAGTCAAAGCATTTCTGAGTTTCCCATTTTCAGGAAGGTCATCGGCAATCTCTTCCGCCACCTTCCCCACTTCCTCCGCTACCTTTTCTACTGCTTCCGCTATCTCTTCCGCTGTCTCCACTACCGTTTCAATGCCATCTGTGCATAGTGTTTTCCGAACAATAAAAAAAAGTCTAACATCACCAAATAATATTAAAGACATGGTAAGCATTCGAATGAACAAAATTTGCTCATTGGTGGTTCTTAATCCTTTGTCCTTACCTTTCAGTTTCAACAATGGCCCCCATTTATGACTTAGCAAAGGTAGAATCACTGTCATTACTATTCCCAAAATCCAATTTTTCCTGCTTGAACATAAGAATAATGATCTTAAATGACTCAGGGATAAGTAAAAGATTAGGAAAAATGAATAAATATTATCTATAGAAAACCAGTCTAATAATCCTAAAAAATAGCTCAAATAATAATAATAATGACGCATTATAAATTTAGAAATTTTGACTTCAAAACTTAACAATTCCTTTAATTTAGGACAAAAGCTTCATAAATACCTTAGTTCCGATGTAAATGACTTATTTTTGACTAAATTAAAAAAAAGTTTGATCAAAATACTCGTTTTAAATTGGTCCCAGCATCCTCACCGTTAAAAAAAAAGGTCTAATGTATGAAGCTCCGGTCACCACCTCAAGTTAAAATGTTCTTTAAAAAAAAAAAAAGTTAAAATGTTCTTAGTCAGACTCAAAAACTGTTTTAATAACTTAAATTCGAGATCATCAAGACACAATAAATTACCCTTACAACAATATTATTTGTAAAATGAAAAATAGAACTTGGACTTACCAAGAATTAGGAGGAGGTCCGGAGGGTACCGGACCTCCAGCTTGAACGCCGGCGAAAACAGCAAAGTCCCTAAGCACAAAGAAAGATTTTCGTGAAAGCTAAAAAGGCAGAAGCGAAGTGCACTGTACTCACATCACTGTAATCAGATCATTAGAAAAAGTAGAACAACTATACTTACATCTTAGATGTTCGTTTGATGGGTTCTGCTCTTAGGCTGCTCATCAGATTTTGTGAACTCCGGTTACCCGGAAAAGAGCTTCCATAATTGTGTACGGTGATTATAAAACGACGAGTTGGGTTGAAAGAGAAACTTTGAAATGTGTGAGGACAGGGCTTGACATGGAAGCCATTTAAGCTGTTAAAAACTACAGATCTTGACATCGGAATAAATTGTGTATTTTGGGTTTGAATCAATAATAAGATTTCTCTGCAGATTGGATATGTAGTGCAGACCTGTTTAAAGTTGTAAATTTAGATGCAGTTTTGAAAGAGGTTAAGAAAACAAGGTTTTGCGTAGGAGAGAGATTGAATAGTAGGTGTTATTGGGTTAACTAAAGGTAGAACCGGGGCGTTTGATATGACTTTTCCTTTGGTTGGTTGAAGTTGAAGAAAGAGAATATAAAAAATGAGGGCAGACTGGCTGCTTAATTTGTGGTCTGTGCTAGGCTAGGCCTGGCATTGGTCCCAAGTGAAACTTTTCGTGTCGAATTTGAACGGTTCTCGTAAAAAAAAACTGTCCGTTTATTATTTTGTATGTAATGAATCGTATCTTGTCAAATTTGTAATATATATAATTTATGTATAATCAGAATAAAAATAAATCGTATTATATATCTAATTCGTTTAGTAATCATATTAAATCGAGTTCACCTATTTACTAAACAAATGATTTAAAAAAGACTAAAATATTATAATTTTATATTGTATTTGTATCGTATTAATGATCATATCATATTTTGATATCTCTAATCGGTGTTTGAGCAATCTACATTATTTTTATTGAACTTTTATTTAATAATAAATTATTTATTATTAATACACATGAAACTCATTATTTATTAGTTTCAATTTTGAATCATGTTTTTATCTTGTATTAGAAATTTTCCCTTCTAACGTTTTTTTTTTTTGAAAAGTAAATTTTTTAGAATATTTCAATTACGTAAAAAAATATTGGTTACAATCAGTGGATAAGAAAACCTTAAGCTCGGGTCCCTCCTAAGGTTAAGTGGACAAGTGTATGTTCACTTTGAATATTCGTAAGAGTAAATTATACTTATACCTCTTAGACTATTGTTTTTTTTACTTTAACTCCTCAATTACTAAATATCTAATATTACATCCAAAACTAACATTTTTGTTTCACATTGTCCCAATCACAACATCTGTTATTTTTTTAGACAGCAATTGCTGATATGTCAGAGTGAAGTGGAAAAACTTAAATAGTTTAGGAGAAAAAATAAAATAAAATTTCATTAAATATGTAAAAGACGTTAATAATTGGAGTAATGTAAAATTAATCAAATAGGTGAGGGTGTAATCTGAGAAATCTAAGAATTGAGGGGACAAAGTGGGAAAAGGGTGATAGTTCAATGGGTATAAGAGTAATTTAACCCTATTCTTAAACTCGTGGATTCTTCAATTTGCAGTTTTCTTGTAAGTGTCAATTTCCATTCGTTTACGAAAACGACTTTGACAAATCACAGTTTAGGTGTCTCGATGCGACAACTTGTGCAGATATAGCCAGATTTTATTTAATGAATAGTTTTTTTTTTATTTTTATATTTTGATAAATTAATTTATTGATGATAAATATTACGTTCATATTGAAAAAAAGTTTAACAATTGATTATTTTTTTTTTTAATTTTTCTGAACAACAATTATGGAGTTGATACTATAATCATTGTAAAACTAAAGCATGTCATCCATTATGATCTCTCGGAACGAGGGATGATGTTTGCAAACTTTGTTTGGATGATTAATTGCAATTACAATAAAAAAAAAATAATATTTGTACTTAATTTATTAATTTTATTTGTTGACTTAATACATCATAGTCATTTAATTGATGATAAATCTCAATTAATTCAACTGTTCATTATCAATCAAATAATATTGATAGAAAAAAGTCATAATATGGAGAGCATTCCCCAATTAAAATGCAAAATTGTTTAATCTCTTGCCTCAAACTAGCAAAATGGTCACTCTATTTGGATGAATTTTGCTTTATAACCCTTTCAAAGTTTAGGATGAGTTTTTAGTCAATCTCTTGATCTGTTAATCCTGTGTGTGTGTGTGTGTGAGAGAGAGAGAGAGAGAGAGAGAGCTTATAATATATTTTCGTTGAAACTATTGATTAGATTATGAAAGTGCTGGAAATTATAACAGAAATTTTTTATTATAATATTGGTGGGGATTTTCGGAAAGTAAAATTGGTAAGGATTTCGTGCTAGGTACAAGTTAAAATCAAACTTGGCAGGGAAAGGGTTGACAATTTTGAAAGGACAACCATGATGAAATTGATTTTTTGGTTTGGGAGTAGCAATAGATAATAGCTAATCTTTTGGGTCATCAATGGTTTATATGGGTTTGTGTTTTATTTAAGGGACTATAAATAAATTTAGATGATATTTAATAAAATTAAAAGTTGAACAATAAAAATTAAATGCTAAATTTTAAGTGTTAAATATTAAATTTTTCAATTTGTAAACTGTTTAATATCAACTAAAATTTAGTATTAAATTTAATCAAACTGTTTGACAAATATAAAAAGTTGAAATATGAAAATTATTATTATTCTAATTTTACCCTTCTCTATTCAACTATTTTATTTCTATCACCATCATCTCAGTCTCTTCACTTCTCACACACTATGTCAGACAGACAACGACAAGTCACTTTCCCAAATTCATGCCGGACAGGCAGCAAGTCCTTTCTTTTGCACAAACACCGTCCCCTCCCCTCCCCTCTTTCTAGAAGTGTTGTTGTACATTAATCATAGTCTTTTTACTTAGTTTGGGTGCTCATTGGTGGTTGTAGGCAGCAAAAAGTTAACAATTATAATCAACAAGTTGCAAGGAAAAGATCATCAAATAAGAAGCCACATTTGTGTATATACATCTTCATTTTTTTGTTCATCCTTTTAGGCTAATGCTTTTTCCTTTCATGTTAATGAGCAGATATTTTAAGTTTTTAGCAAGATTGATTTTCATTATATGGTTCTTTGGTAGAAGAGACTAAAATTTCTTTAAATTCGAAAACCCATGTACTTGCTGATGTGATTCTTCAAGCTTTTATTGGTTTTTGATATGAGCAAAATTTTTCATGAAAGTATCATTAGATCATGGAATTACTAACCAGCAACAATCTTGATGCATATTGAGTATCTCTTACTTCTTGACCCGTAAGTTCCCTATATTGCCATTGTTATGTTGCAACAGTCACATTGTATTTTTTTATGAGCCTTTGTTGTTTATTATTTATATATTTTTTAAGCTTTGGATGTTTGGTTAACCCAACATATTCATATTTTTTTTTAAGCTTTGGACCTTTGGTTAACAAAATTTTATTATTCATATTCATAATTTTTGGTTGGTGCAATATGGACTCCTACCCAAAAAAGAAAGATGTCAAGGAAATTTGTGGTGGTAACAAGAGTGATAATGCCTATAGATTGTTAATCATAAAATTTGAATCGGCTAAAAGCATGAATTTGCTATGTGTTTGCATTGAATTTACTATGTCTTGTCAAATTTGTGCATTAGAAACTATTTTATAGTTAATGGGATAGCATTTGCTTGCAATTTATTTATTGCATATAATATATTCTACCAAGTAAACAATGAATAAGCCCCCCCAAAACCAATGCTTATTTTTGTGGTTGTACAATGTCTTTAGGCAATATTCTCTCTTTATCTTGGCTATGAGATTCCCACTTTTTTTATTTTTTTGATGTGTTAGCAGCAGGCAAAGAATATGTTGTTCCATAGGATCATATTTGTTATGTTGATAATCTATGAAATGTTACAGTTACTAAAGCTAATATCCAATGTCCATTATTGTGAGAGTTTTATTTTATCACCACTATAATCATTGTACTTTAATTTATTTTAGTTATTCATGCTTTATTTTGTTAGAACATAGCCTTAATTGTTAGTAATGTGCTTGTGTTTAGGTTTTATAGTTGAATACTTAATGGTGAATCTTTCATGATTATGGCGTTCAAGACTTCGTTGGCCTCTAAACTATGTTCATGTCTTTGTGATTTTTAGGTACCATTAATTTTACAACTTTGTTAACAAGGTGGTGATTTATGTATTTTATTTCTCTCTCTATACTTGGTTATCGATAAAAATTAGTTTCTTCTAATAGTATAGATTTGCAGAAAATTGACTTTTGAGTATTTTTTTTTGGGCATTAATGTGAGTAAAAACTAGGTTTATATAGTTTCAATCATATAAATTTGTATGCTATTGAAAGTTTTTGTATTACATGGTTAGTATTCGATTTTATGTTGTATAATGTCTTCAAGTTCGAGTTTTGTCCATTTTTTTTTTAAAAAGTGGTTGTTGCGATTTAATATATTGGGCCCGATTCTTTGGGTGCTCGATTTTTAAGGTGCACTGTGTCTGCTTTTAAACATGGATTATTATTAGAATTTTCATTTTTCATATAGGTAATACTTTGTTAATTAGTTATGTAAAATGCAGATGTATTAAATGATGCATTTTAGAATTTAGTGCGGGTCCAAGTTTAATGTTGGATTATTTCAAAAGTTTTTGTACTACATGCTTAGTATTCAATTTTATGCTGTATGATGTCTTTAGGTTCGAGCTTTGTTCATTTTTTTAAAAAAAGTGCTTGTTGCGATTTAATATAGTGGACTCGATTATTTGGGTGCTCAATTTTTAAGTTGCACTATGTCTACCTTTAGACACGAGTTATTATTAGAATTTTCATTTTTCATGCAGGTAATACTTTGTTAATTATTTATGTAAAATGCGGATGTATTAAATGAGACATTTTAGGCTTTTAATTTAATGCGGGTCCAAGTTTAATGCTGGATTATTTCATGTTCACGATCAATATTTAGTGTTTGATTATTTCGTGTGTGTCTGCATTTAATGCTTGATTATTTCGCGTTCAAAAACAATGTTATTTTTTTATTTTTTATTTTAATTACATAATTTCAGACACGGATTATAGGAACAGTTTAGAATTTCAGCTTAGTACACGTTTGAGTTCAGTGTTTGAATATTTCGTGCCCAAATTCAATGCTCGATTTTTTTAAAATTGCATCGTGCCTTAAGTCACATGTTATTTGTCCATAAAACTTGAAATGGGTAAATTACACTTACACTTGTTAAACTATCACATTTTTTTTACTTTGTCCACTCAACTACTAAATTTCTCATATTATATCCTAAACTAAAATTTTTATTTTATATTATCCTAATTGCAAACGCCTATTATCTTTTTGGACAAAAATCACTGACGTGTCGAGATAAAGTGAAAAAATTTACATAGTTTGAGGTGTAAAATCAAATAATTTTCTGTTAAATATATAACGGATGCCGATAAGTGAGGTAATGTGAAACTAATGA